CGCGTCAAGCTGAGATGCATCTGCAGGGCTGGGTTCCCGGCCCGGGAATCCCAGTGCCAGTGCCCTCGGGGATGGCACCCCTCGATACCAGTTTCTCCTAAGCCACCAGACCGCCTTCCTCTCTTAAGTCCAGCTTCCTTCTGGATGGGAAAGGACGGAGCAGGCGAGGGGGTCATGCAGCTTCCGAGCAGCGCGCGGCAGGAAGGCTTGCGGGCAGTTTCCACTGCAGGTTTGGTCACGAACACACTTTGACTCCCCACCCCCCACCGAGTCTCGCCTGCCACTCCTGCCTTCCTTGCTGACTCTGGAACCTTCCACCACCTCGTCTTCCCCCCTGCTCTGGCACCAAGGCTCATCTGGGTGGCGGGCAGCATTTCGCTTGCCGTGGGGAGTTGAGCTAGCCAGGGCGGGGCGGGTTTTCAGACTGAAGTCAAGAAGTTTCTCCGGATCCAAAGTGAGAGACAGTCTACAAAATAATGCCCCTTCCCCCCTCGGGTACGTCAGCTCTGGGAAAGACACAGACAGGTTGAGGGAGAAGCGGCTCCAGAGTAAAGCAAAGAAGGATGAGGGCCCACTGGATGCAACGGGAACTTCTGTTGCTACAAAGGACATAATTGGGACATTTGGCAAAATCTAACTCAAGTCTGTCGATTAGAGAAGAGTATCAGATCTCTGTTAATTGCTCGATTTTGATCACTGTGCTCTGGTTAGGCAAGAGAATGCCCTTGTTTTGGGAAAAAGATGCTGAAGGGTAAAGGGGCATCATGTCTGTGACTTATTCTCAAATGATTCAGGAGGAAGAAGAACTACACAGAGAGATGAGGAAGCCAATATGGTAAGATATTAACATTTGGGAGATCTGCGTGAGCAGGATTATTCTTCAATTGTTCTGAGTTTCAATTTTAAGCTTAATAGGAAAAATAACAGGAAAACAAACGTGTGCCCTACAATGTCTGACCGCTTCCTCCTTCTCCTGGCCTGAAACCAGAAGGCTCTGGCCATCTGAGGACACTGGCCCCTGTCCCCCACTGCCTCAGGGGTCTCCCCAGACCTGGCAAGGCCTGCTCCCATCTGCTGCCTCCTGCCCAGCCTCCAAGCTGTTCTAAGTGACTCGAGAAAGTGTGCTTCTTCCCGGCCTTAGCGGGATCCTGGGTTATTCAGGGACTCTCGTCCCGTGCAAGCTTCCCAAGTCTTCACGGCCTCCCTCTCAGCACGTGGCCTCACTCTTGGGCCCTGGAGCAGACGCAGGAATGGCTCCAACGGCTCTCCTCTCCACCAGAACCTCCTGTGCCCCTCCTCCACTCTCCCTGGTATCACAAGCCAAAGGATGCCTTCTCGCCTCCCAGCGCCAGCCCCCAACTCCCCCCAACCCCCTACCCATCTCCAGGACCTCACTCAACAACCAGTCCCCCTCAAAGCTCCCCCAGCCTCGGAGCTGGCTCAGGTATCTCTGAACAAGGCAGCTTCGTGCTTCTCTTTGCCAGTTACCAGCCCCTCTGTCACTGGGGCAGCCCCTCAACCCATACTCCTGCCCTCATTCAAACTGTGACAAATGGCTTCCATGCTCCCCCCAAGGTGGCAGCGTCAAAGATAGAATTCAGAATTGGAGATCTGAGCTGCAGCCTCTGCTCCACCCCTTAAGAGCTGTGCGATTCTAGGCACGTTTCCAGGACGGTGGGAAGTGTTTGTGTAGGTTCCCTATGAACTGTGACACCCGACCCCTGGCCTCATTCCCTCCCCACTTGTTCACCTGTCCCTGTTTTCTCTATGCAGCCTCCTGGGAGCTGCTGTCAAGTCCACGCTGTCTGCTGGCGGCTCCCAAACCTGCGTCTCTGCTGAGGCCCCTCTTCTCGACTCCACTTCTCTGGGTCCCACAGCTGCTTAGACACCCCTCCTCCGGCACCCAGCTGGTTCCTCAAACTTAAGATGCCAGTACTTAAGATTCACACTCACTCGTGCTGGATTTGCCAAAAGGCAGTCACAGCAAGTGCTTAAGGCCACCAAGAAGTAATAAATTTCCGGGGGAAGAATCTGATATTCCCAAAATGCATCAGAGCAGCTCTTCCTGTTGGGTACTGTTTACTGTGAATTACGGAGGGGAAGAGCACCTAAGGTTTGCAGCATCTGGATCTCTGAAGTCTCACATCAGTGCCCCTGTCATCTCCAACAACGGCCTCGGCTCTAGTCACTCAGAGCACACACTCTGAAACCACTCTTCACTCCTCTCTCACATCCCCACGTCCGGTTTTTAATGTTTTTTTTTTTTTAATATTTATTTATTTGGCTGCACGGGCTCTTAGCTGTGGCAAGCAGGATGTAGCTCCCTGACCAGGGATCGAACCTGGGCCCCTGCATGGGGAGCACGGAGTCTTAACCACTGGACCACCAGGGAAGTCCCCCCACATTCGGTTTTTAAATCTGGACCCTTCTCGTGCCCCAAAAAGCCCCACTGGCTCCTTGCCGCTCCACCAGCTGCATCCAGTCCCCTCTGGCTTGGGTGGGCAATGTGGTCTTTGCCTCCTGACCAAGCCCACCCATGCTGTCCTCTGCCGTGGTCACCTCATCCAAGCACAGAGGGGAGGCGTCACGCTCCTGTTCACACGGCTCCAGGGGCTCGCCCTCGACTCCAGCCCAGTCCCCTGTCCCCAAATGAAGGTCTCCCCGCCGGGCCCAGGTTTAGCTGCCTCCCACTCTTTTGTTCACCACCCCATCCTCACATACCCTGGGCTCCAGCCAAACTAGACTTCTCGCCATCTGGGAACACATGTTCCCTCTGCCCAAAATAACCTACATTCATCTCCACCTGTCGAGATCTGTCCTTGAAGGGTTATTCAATAAATAGTACTAGGACAATTGGTCACTGGGAGGAAATTTTTTAGATTCCTTACCTCATACTATGCACCAAAATGTATTCTAGATAAACTAGACTTAAACATAAAATATCGAGTATCATATATTCAATAGAAATATATGATATAATCACATGTATTAAAAAAATTGAACTGTAAAAAGTCTGAAAAAGTATGGTTGTTGAATAGATTAAAAGGGAGAAGATGCTCAGCTTAAAAGCCAAGAATGAAATTTCAAAGGAAACAAAGCAATAGATTTAACTCATTAAATAGAACCGGACTCATTAAAACCAAACTGATAAGAAATGAACAGAGGGGGGGACTTCCCTGGTGGCGAGATGGTTAAGAATCCACCTGCCAAGCAGGGGACACGGGTTCGAGCCCTGGTCCAGGAAGATCCCACATGCCAAGGAGCAACTAAGCCCATGCGCCACAACTACTGAACCTGAGCTCTAGAGCCCGCAAGCCACAACTAATGAGCCCACCTGCCACAACTACTGAAGCCCACGTGCCTAGAGCCCTGCTCTGCAACAAGAGAAGCCACTGCAATGAGAAGCCTGAGCACCACAACAAGGAGTAGCCCCTGCTCGCTGCAACTAGAGAAAGCCTATGTGCAGCAACGAAGACCCAACACAGCCAAAAGTAAATAAATAAAATACATAAATTAAAAAAAAAAGGCTCACAAAGGAATGGATGGGCAGGCTCATTCAAAAAAAAAAGAAATGAACAGAAGGGTAGAGAGTCCTTCCCATGAACTGACTGTTGGCGTCCCCTATGCAGGGAAGTGGTCTGGTTAGCAAGAAATTAGAGAAGGAGCTTCATGGACACCTTTTATGAAGGCCAAGTGATGCCTGACATCACATTCCTTCCCTAGGGATTTGAAATGTCCAAATCCTCTCCAGGATTGAAATGGTCAAGGCCCAGATTTGATGTTTTCCCCTGGACTCTCCTGTGTTTGGTTGATAGCTATTATATAATTTTGTTTGATTGGGTCTTTTTTATGAAACAGGAGAAAGGGTGATTAAATACTTGGGGAGGGACTTCACTGGCGGTCCAGTGGTTAGGACTCTGGGCTTCCACTTCAGCGGGCCCGGGATCGATCCCTGCACCGTGGCCGAACCATGGCCAAAAAAACCGCCGCCCCCCCAAAAAAACCTCGGTGCATGCTTCTTCTGTGCCAGTTTATGTGCATTATCTCATTTAATTCTTACAGCAGCCCTACAAAATAGGTACTATTATTCCCATTTTAAAAATGAGGCAACTAAGAGATTAACTGAAGTGCTCAAGACTTCACAGCTAGTATGGGATTCAGATCCAGGCAGAGTGACTCTCAGCACACACCTCCTCCCACCGAAAGACATACTTTCTTACTTTTAAAATCCATTCCTGAAAAAAAAAATAAAATAAAATCCATTCCTGTTTCTTCAACGTAACACATGAAACACGTATTCTTCCTGTAAAATGGCTGTCAGTCCCTCTACATAGGTGTTTGCTAAAAGTTAACTCCTTTCCTAAGCGCTCCATCCCCACTACCACTGCTTAGTTCAGGCCATCATTTTTTCTTATGCTGCTGTGACGGTGACGATGTTATCATGCATGTTCCAGGCACTAAGTACGGTATTTCACGAACTAAAAATAAGAGTGCACATTTATTGAGCACTCACTATAACTCAGGTATTACGCTAAATATCACTCACGGCTTATCATCCAGCAATCCTATAAGGTTAGTTTTGTTTTGAGTACAGATGACCCCATATCCTCCCTCCTTTAATTCCTCCCTGCTTATAAAAATAATAACTGTACCATTTCCCTAGAATAAACCGCACTTATTTGAAGCGTACATTTCAGTGAGTTTTGACATACTTGTGAAACCACCACCACAAACAGGACGCAGACTGTTCCTGCCCTCATAAACTTCCCGAGCTCCTTCCCAGCTTAGCCCGCCCTGACCCCGGGCCCCCGCGGGGCGTGACGTCACTGCCCTGCGCCCCGCCGCCGCTGTGCGCGGCGCTTCCGGCAGCGAGGACGTGGGGGGCGGGGCTGGGGGCGTCACGGAGGCGTGCGCCGGAAGCGGGCCCGGCGGAAGTGGCGGGGCGGGGCGCGGGGGCGATGGGGGGTGGCGGCGGCGGCCGGCGATGAGCAACGGGAGTGCGTGAGCGGGCCGGCGCGCGAGGCTGGGGGGCCCCGGAGAACGAGCCTCAGGGCGGAGGGCGGGGGCGCGAGCGCGGCGGGCGGCGGGCGGCGGCCTGGGCGCGGCGGCGGCCGAGAAGATGGCGGACGGCGACAGCGGCAGCGAGCGCGGCGGCGGTGGCGGGCCCGGCGGCTTCCAGCCCGCGTCTCGCGGCGGCGGCGAGCAGGAGACGCAGGAGCTGGCCTCGAAGCGGCTGGACATCCAGAACAAACGCTTCTACCTGGACGTGAAGCAGAACGCCAAGGGCCGCTTCCTCAAGATCGCCGAGGTGGGCGCGGGCGGCTCCAAGAGCCGCCTCACGCTGTCCATGGCGGTGGCCGCCGAGTTCCGCGACTACCTGGGCGACTTCATCGAACACTACGCGCAGCTGGGCCCCAGCAGCCCCGAGCAGGTGGCAGCGGCAGCGGGCGCCGAGGAGGGCGGTGGGCCGCGGCGCGCGCTCAAGAGCGAGTTTCTGGTGCGCGAGAACCGCAAGTACTACCTGGACCTCAAGGAGAACCAGCGCGGCCGCTTCCTGCGCATCCGCCAGACGGTCAACCGCGGCGGCGGTGGCCCGGGGCCCGGCGGCCTGCAGAGCGGCCAGACCATTGCGTTGCCCGCGCAGGGCCTCATCGAGTTCCGCGACGCGCTGGCCAAGCTCATCGACGACTACGGCGGCGAGGACGACGAGCTGGCTGGGGGCCCGGGCGGCGGTGCCGGGGGCCCCGGGGGCGGCCTGTACGGGGAGCTCCCGGAAGGCACATCCATCACGGTGGACTCTAAGCGTTTCTTCTTCGACGTGGGCTGCAACAAGTACGGAGTGTTCCTGCGCGTGAGCGAGGTGAAGCCGTCCTACCGCAACGCCATTACCGTCCCTTTCAAGGCCTGGGGCAAGTTCGGGGGCGCCTTTTGCCGGTATGCGGATGAGATGAAAGAGATCCAGGAGCGGCAGAGGGATAAGCTTTATGAGCGACGCGGCGGAGACGAGTCAGAGGGAGAGGAGGTGGATGAGGATTGAAACGCCTAGCTTCCCCTACGGGCCTCCCCACCCCACCACTAGAGAGCCCCCCTTCCTGTTCATCCCAGTGAGCTAGTGGAGGGGGAGCAAGGGAGGCCCCAGAAGGAGAAGACAAAATTTAAAATAATATAGTTAATTAAGAGAAATAACCATAAGAGAGAACAGTCACGGACAATTAGAGAAAAGCAGTAAAGTTCCAAGGAATTGACAGCAACCTACAAAGAGAGGACGACAGCGCCTCCTCACCTGAGCAAAAGTCTCAACTTCTGTTGCTTCCCAGCTGAGGTTCCTAAATCCATCAGGATAATCCTGGGTGGGGTAGATCCTTGCACATTGGCCAAGGAACACCTCTTGAGTTACCCAGACCCACTGATGACAGCTGAATTTGTATTATACCTGGGGTAACCTGGTCTTAAGATAGTGTCTTATCCCTTCACCTCCATTGAAATCAGCGTTTTGGATCTAGATCTTCATGGAATTCTTGTGAAGAGAGAGGCATTTGCAGTTACCCAGTTCTGAGGGTACAAGTTTTATGAAAAGGAATGCAACTTTAAGTAATCATAGACAGGGCAAAATAAGAATTCAAGAAGCCACCAGGGAATACAGAAACAAGTCGGATCCATTTTTTTTTTAAATGGTTTTGCATGGAACCTGGAACAAGGTCCATGTCTTGTCTTTGCAGAATTATTTTCCGGGATGCAGATGGATTCAGGTGTCAGTCCTTGAACTAGAATCCGTTATTATAATATTTTGGAAGTCGGCAAAATTTTTTCAAAGATAAAAGCAGTTTTACATTGGGGGTTGCTGAGGTAGGCACAAGCAGAAATCAGGCATAAAGCACAAGGAAAACTGTTTGAGTGGATTGGTTGCTGCTCACTAAAGTTCTTCCCCGATCTCCAAATATGGAGGTCATGTCTTAGATATGAATGAGAGCCAGATCCCCGTGGCTCCACCGTGTGAGCCAGTGAATTATGGCTAATTCGGCAGTTTCAGCCACTGGTTGGCTGGATTTTAAACCGTAAAACTTGAAGATATCTACAAAAGGAACAGTGGCTACAAGCCTGAGCTTTAATGGAATATAAGTCCTCACAGAAAAGTTCGAAATAACCAAAACTGAAGTCTTCATCTACCTTCAGTTTAATCTGTGGATTTGTTTAAACACTAAAGATCCTCAGGTCCAGAATTCCAGCAACATTTATTCTTTTAAAATAAATTTTTAAGAACTTGATCCATTGTATCAGTACCTCACAATCAAGTTGGCAAACGATGGATGAGTGATTCAAGTAGCGTGCCCTTTGGAAGCTGAAATCCATCTGAATGGAGCTGAAGTGAACGTGAATATGCTGACTATATCCTGGAAGCATTTTTATACCATCTTGAAATTTCAACAAAACTGCCTTTTGCCAGTTTATCCAGCTGTCTTTCAAGAATAAAAGTTGGGGTTTTCAAGGATCGCCTCTTCTATATTTTAAATGGATTTTCAGTATGATCTTTACTAATCAAGTTAATCCCACCCCATCAAAAGGTATTCCTAGAAGTGTCAGAACCTAGGTAACTGAATTGAATGGGAGCTAATGTTCTTTCCAAAGTTTTCAGGTAACTTTGTGCAACACCTTCTCAACCAGGAGGCAAGTAACCCCACTTCCACAATCTTAGTATTTTTTTTTTAACTGCATGCCTGCCCTTTATTTGAGCTGCCTTTTAATTTATTGCATACCCTTTTTATTATCTTATTTTGGTATTCAATCTATACAATCTTTTTGTATTTATTGGGAAATGAGTAATATACAAAAAGGTCGTTTTCATGAATTAGTGGCTGAGAGGGAGGGAATAATTGTGTATATAAAATTAGGCTTTTTTAAAAATTAGGTTTGATTCAGAATATCTCATCTTAGATTTTTAAAAAATAGTGGAAGAGCCACAAACATTGGTGCCCTTTTCAGACTATTTCTCTACTCTCATCATCCACAGTAGACTTTTTAAACAGATTTTTTTTAAAGCATTTCTTTTTTTAAAAAATGTTTCTCCGTTGCAAAGAATGTTTCCTAAATTGTATGGGAGCAATAGTATTTTTGATGTTTTAATGACATCTGTATACTTGTACTGTATTTTGTACTACAAGGCAGCTGTTTTCAATAATGTCCTGCTGTATTTACCTATGTGTTTTGAGTGTTTATTTCTTTGCTGCGGAGAACAAATCCCTAAATAGTTTTAGTAAAGGAGCTGAGAAACTAAGCATTATTAGGTTTGCAGAAACTGTTTAAGTTTCAAACTCTGAGGCAGCAATGAAAATTAAGGTTGCAGCTCTTAGTTGATAGCTGTAACTTTTTCATTTTCAAAACATGTATAATTCCTGTAGAGACCAACTTGTTTTCCTGCTTCAGTGGTGGTTCTGTTGCTCAGCTGCTGTGAGCCAGTTCAGTTTTGCAAAGGTGCAGTACCTCTCCTTTCTAAGGGGTTGGTTCATTCTTTTTTCTTTTCTTTTTGTTTGGCTGAATTGCAGTAACTAGCCTTGCCCTTTCTACTCTGTAGAAATGACAGGGTCTTCACAATCCTTCACCAGTGGCTACTAAGCTATAATTAGCTGAACAGAAAGAATGTGGAAGTGGTCTGAGGCATATAGAGTATATGCCAAGAACACTACCATATATGGCATCAGCTTTGGTTACCAGAGAAATTTTCTTAGTCATTAGACCATATAACAGTAGTATATCATATGTAAATCTTTAGATATCAATTTGAGAATCCTCCAAAAAAAGGAGCAAAGAATGCATAAGCTATGTGTTGGAAAAAGTAATTTATATTAAAATTTTGACCTGCCTATGTAAGATTAAGTGGTAAACGTCATAGTGGTGGGTTTTTAAGTCTTAACCAATTTCAAAGGTTTGTTTCTCCTGCAGGGGGTGGTTCACGGCCTCTTCTCACTGCAGGAAGATTACAGGAGGATGTGGATTAATTGTAGCATTCACTGATCCTCATTCCAGTACTAGGGACAATAGAAATCTGCAAAGCATAGAGACTACACTTGGTGTGTGGTTTGTTAAACAAGGTGATAGTAACAGGCTAGCTTTTAGAACTCATTCAAAGTATTGCTTATTAAAGGAAATGATCTTTGTTAATTCCAGTCAGAAAATGGCATTGTACAGACTATGGGAAACCAATTTTTTTGTTTTGTCTTTCAAGCACTATTATGAACAGTGATTTAGGGCTGTTTTTCAGCTTTGGCAAACATCCCAGCTAATCACATGTTCAAAACAGTCATATTCTTGAGAAGTAGGGAACTAAAATTCCTCTTCAGATAATTGGTAGAATGTTTGTTTCTCAAACTACTGCAGTTACAGACATGAGAAATCAAACTTCAGGAACAGAATCAAAAGAGCAAAAATCTGTGTCAAGATACTCCTCTTCCCTTCTGGTTTCTATTGTCCCTACCTATCATTCAAGTAGAATGGCAGTTCTAGCCAGCAAAGAACATTTTCAGTGCATATGCTGCACAGTACAAAATGTAAATCTGTATGGCACCAAAAAATCAAAGTGAAAACCAAACCAAAAACCCAGACACCCTATGTTACTATGGGAGGCATGTAGGTGGTGTAAATGACTGTAGCTGTGATGCACACATGGCTACTTGTCAAGTCACTTTCCATAATTATTTACTGCAAAATGATTGAGAGGCTTTGGTGCAGGCAGCCTATTAACCTACTACTTCCTTTGTTACCTCTCAATCACTTTGCAATAAATTGCAGGTCTTTTAAGAGATTCAAGCTTCAGTTTTCTCAAAAAACAAAACAATTTTCCTGGCTTATCTGAAAATGCAGGGTTGTGGGCAAAAGAGGCTGGTTATAATAATGCCCTCATATTGAGTGGTCTGTAAATGGCTGCACACTTCAGGCACTATAGTTGCTGAGGATGCTTTGTTAAATATGACCTTGACTGGCTTTACAGGGGGTAGAATGTGCTCTACACAAGGTATTAAAAGGTAACTGTTCATTTGTGTCTACCTTGCTCTTGAGGTGGATGAAATTAAGAAGCTTGAGTGTGTAAGCCATGCACATAGGTATTCTTCACTGTAAATTTTGTTTTCATTTTTAACCCAATTATGGTACTTTGTCCAATGCACAACTGATCTCTCAGTAGATATTCATTTGAAAATAGTGTGGCCTTGATCGGTGAGAAGGGGAAGGAAACAAGTGACTTTTTGCTTATGTAAAATGACTCGTTTGCCGAGAGTCATTCTGCAGCACTCTTAGTGTCTAATGCGTTTGTGATCAGTCTCCTTGTTGATTGGGGAAAGTTAATGTTTTTGACCCTGGAGTTATTAATTCAATTGAGTTGTCTTCTGTTTTTAGGAAGTATCAGAATTGCTGTGATAAAAAAGTTGACTGCTTTGATGTCCAATCTCAGGTTTTAGAATATATATAGTGGTGTAAAATTCCACTGTTAACTCTTAAAACAATTTTAATTTAGTACACCCTAAACGTCACCTGCATAAGGCCTGTTCAGAGAGCAGAGCCTCCCATCTTTTTGCTCCTTTTCCACTTTGTACTTCACTTGAGAAAGTGTCTTGTGATTTTACATTGTATATTTCCATTTTAACCCTGACATATTTCTCAAAGATAAAGCACTTTTTGATCATGAAATACATGGAATCTTTGTGTGATATGGATCATGGTTTCTCAGGCTCCCCTAGGTAATTTGCTTATGAATATCATTCTAACTGTGTAAGAAGAGTGGAAATCTTTGCTAATGTTAGAAAGTTTGTATTATTGATCTAGAATGCATTTTGCTAGCTTCCAATAGATGGGAGAGTAAATAATGCTGCATTCACAATATAATAAGTTACTTTCCCTTGAGCCTTAAGGTAACTTTTTTTTCTGTCAATAACAGCACTGAAGTTATAGTAAATGAATGAGATTACCAGTTTTCAGGGTTGGTTTTAGAGTACTGTAAATCAATTAGCTGTCTTCCTAAACAGTTACTATTCCCATTGAATAAACTGGATAATGGGTGTGTGGGTGGGACAGGGCCGGGGGGGCGGGGGGGGGGTTTTTTTAAAAAAAAAAAAAAAAAAAAAAAAAAAACCACATTTACCTAAAGAAAAATATAGACACAGAAGAAAGAAGTACAAGACAATGCCTCATTTGAAATTCCAGACATAAGGTGGAAATGGCAAATTATAACCTCATTTCCCTGTTTTTAATCTAGAAAAGCAAAGTCATTAATTTTCAAGTGTTAGCCCCCAGAAGTTTCAAGAGATAGACTGAACGATGACTTCTCTTGATATATCAGTATCTGTCTGCTATTTAGTTAAAGTTGCTGTTCCCAGCCCTCAGTCTTAAAACTTAGTTTCATTACTGATGAATTTAACAGACTCTTATTTCAGTAAATGTGGTCCAATTGTCAGTATGAAAATTAAATTTGGAAAATACTACTGCATCATGAAGACTTATTACTCTAGTAATTTCCAATTGATATCTGTACCCCTGATCTAAGTAAGACCTTTATGAATGTATTTTATATTTCCTAATGAAATAGAGAATATGCCATCAATGTAATCACCTTTATTTGCAATCTTTTACTTTTCATTTGAAAATCTAACTCATGCCTCTCAGATTAGACATTCCAGTGGGGATAGGTAAAGCCATGTTAAAACAATAGCAAATGCCAAATTGGTAGTGTCACTGCTCAATAGGACTTCTAATAACAAGAGGGCAGAGCTTTATTTGATGCAAAAATGTTATTTTTTTCCATAGGTGATTCTAACAAATGATTTGATGAAAGAGTATGACTACTTTTGATTAACGTGGGATTTTGCATCTAGGAACATATTTCATTTTCCCTATGTTATATGGAAAATATCCATTGACATGGATAAGAGAGGGCTGATCATACCTTTAGTATGATGAAATGTGGGCCCAGAGTATTGAAGAGAAAGCAATAGACCTATTCAAGTTCATTGTCCACTAGCATATTGCAAAAGAAGGAGTTTGTCTTTTTTTCTCTTCCCTATTTCGAAGACATCAATGGGTAAACCTTTCAGGAAAATTGATTTAGATCATCTCTTATTTCTTAAAGGCAAACTCTTATCCCCAGTCTTGCCCTATGTTTCAAGATCAGGCTGGCTCGAAAAATCTTTACACATATTTGGAAATAGAGTGGCAAGTAGTAGATTTCTTCCCTTTTTAAATTCCTTTTTCAGGGACATATAACTGCAGGGAGAGTCCCAAGAAACTTGAAAAACAGGTACGTTTGTATCGTAGGAATTTGAGAATTTCATTTTAAACTGTTCAGATATGAGGCGTTAAACCCTTTTCTCCCAGCCCACATGTCACCTCTGTGTCAAAAGCTCTCTGGATTCCTAGAAGCTAATAGATTGGGAAAAGTCCAGAAACTGATATTAAATCAGTACAGGGCACACTTAAAAAGAGTTTTGCATGTTATGGTAGCAGGCAAGTAAATTTGAGTATTTTTCCAATGATTATCAATATTTGAATAATAACTGAAGTTATCAGTGTATTTGGACTTCTTTTTTTTTTTTTTTTTTTGGACTTCTTTTTTCTAAAGTTCTAGAATGATTAGTAGGAATTTATTCTTCCTTTTGCACCTTCATGCAGACGTTTTTCCAAGACCATTTCTAGAAGTCTATCCATCTTGATATATATTTCCAGATGACACACTTTCTATAGTAACCTTCACTGCCAGTCATATGTACCAGGGGCTTCCTTAAACTAGATTTTTCTTCACTCCAAAGTTGGGACTGATGTCCTGCCAGTAGAGAATCTATAGAAGTAATTTGAATGAATTAAAACCAAATCCTGATAGCAGGAGACAGAGCTTCCTGATCTAGATTTACAAGTAGAGTTTAGAAGTTACTTTTAAAGGGGGTTTTGGAGGATGTCCTCAGTCTCTGTAAATATCCATATGCTTGTGCATTGTAAACCAAGTGTGGACTCCTATGTATGAATTTGTAGAACTGATTTCTGCTTCAAGAGAAAATGCACCTTTAATTTTATAAGGTCCCCTACGCCTGTTACCCTATAAATATTTGTAAATAGAACACTAAAATTTGTAGTGATAGGATCAATTTGGGAATATCTGCTGAGAGACCAAAAAGTTCATTTTTTTAAGTACCTTGGTTAAAGAGTAAAGATTATTCCTCTTATTTTTTAAAAGAAGAATGCACTTTAACAAACACAGAGCTGCATGGGCAATTCAAACAAATCCGTGAAATGCAGTACCCATTCAGTAATCATACTTCCTGGAAACCGTTCAAAGAGTGTAGATGGGCTGTTGATCTCACTGCCTGGAGGTTGAAGCTCAGATTCCGGTCAATTTAGAGATGAGCAGGGCTGCTTCAATAGAGCAATGTGAATACAACCAGAAGCTTCAGTCAGGTCTGTAAAATGGCGGGTCCCGTATTTACCACTAACTAGCAAAACTGACAGAAAAACTCATAGAGAAAAAATCCTTACTGCTGGTGTGCACTCCTTACAATAGCAGACTTTTGCAGATGGAGTTTTACAGTCTATATTTAAAAAATTGTATGTTTGTAACAAATAAAGTATGCGAAAAAGTGAATGATAATCTTGTGCTGGTGTCTCTAATTTAAGGGATTACGTGGTGACCAGGAGGGAAATACCACACACCATCTGCTGGGGTTCGTAAATGGGTCTGGAATTGGGTGAGTTCCCACTTGAAATGACTTAAAAGCTGTTGCACATTTCATCTGAAATACAGCCAGTTCTAGACCCTCTGGGTTCCCAAAACCCTTTTCTAGTTAGTAAGCAATCTGTGGAGTAAATCAAAGTTGCACATAGTTTCATACTTTGGTTCATATTCCAGACGGGCCACTTGTTGCTTCCCCTAATTTCTTTCTATTCTACCTGCTTTTAGGCCCTATCATTTCCAAAGGCTGTAAAGAAACTGCTACCCCATGTGTTCACTCATTTATCATAACTGACTGCTTAGAGAGTAGATTAGGCCAGTCTCCTATACCCCAAGCTAAAGGAAAAATAAAAATTTTATGTCCATGCATCCTGGCTGTAGTTCCAAATTTTTTGGTTTCACGAACCCCTTTACGTCCTTAAAATTTACTGAAGACCTTCAAGGAGCTTTTATCTTTCAGGGCTTTATCAATTGATACCTATCTATTAGAAACTGAATTGTTTTCGAGACAAAAACAACATAAGTACGTGTTCCATCTGCTATAGAGCAGTGACCTCGCATCATTTAGCCTCTGGAAAACTTAAAAACTTGTGAGAGAATGAAAGTGAACAAGGCAGCTAACAATGTTGTTAGGAAAGTAGATTAGACTTCTGGACTCCCTAAAAGTCTTGGGCCTCTGGAGGTTTCTGGATCACCCTTTGAGAACCACTGAACTAGACTGGTATGTAAATGATGCTTTTCTGAAGATAAGGGGTTGGAAAAGACCTAAGATAGCTTAATCCTTTAGTTCTCCCTATGATCGATCTCTGTATTAGAGGCTCTTACTATAAATTACTCCTATCACCACCCCAGCCCACACACGTATGTAATTTTCCTGTGACTGTCCACTTCTTTGACCTGGCAGTGCTCAATGCTGACTGCAGAACCACTTGGAGAGCCTTGAATACTCATGCCCAGGCACCATCCAGACCAACTGGATCAGAATTTGGGGGACATAAACCCAGTGTTTTGTGCGTTCTGTTCTACCTCTTAATTCCTGAGACTCCAAGGGAGTCTAGTCAGTCAGGGATGAGAACCAGTGGCCTGCGGTACGAAGAGAAAGGGATGAAAGGCTGGGAATCTCTGCTAGAGGGAATAAAAGAAACTCAGGATGGCAGAGCATTCCCTGAACATACGGCTTTCACCTTGTGACTCCTGTTGCCCACGTTACCCGCACTACCACTTAAACCCCCAAATAACTAATCATGGGAAAAGTTTGCAAATGGAATCATGGAGCATTGTATTGGTAGCCCCCTCACTGGGGAAATCTGGGGCTTTTACTAGCACAGAGGACCCTTGAGTGTGCACTGGAGTCACCTGGAGAGCTGATTACTGAGCCACCTACCCCCGCCACCCACCCACCCTGCCAAGTTTCTGAGTGCGCAGGTCTGGGTGGAACCTGAGAAGCTACATTTCTAACAAGTTCCCAGGTGATGCTGATGCTGCTAGTTGAGGATCACTCTTTGAGACTCGCTGCAGAAATCACGAAAGTTCTGGTAAAAATTACCTCACTTGCCGCCAACTGACAGAGGTCAGGAAGCCTTTACCCTGACGCATTAGTTCTGCCATAGCCCCGCTGAATTTTTTAGCTTGGTATGAAGTTGTCACCTAACAAATTTAAGGACTAGATGTAGCCAGGCTATAACCTGAGGAGTTCCATTGGAGCCAGCGCCTCAAGGAATAGGGGTTTTACTTCATAGTCTCGGTATTGTGGATGTTGTAAGCTAGGTACTATCCCCGAATCTGTCATAAAGTAATAGCGTGACTGAGCTAGTATCTTTAACACTTAAAAATCCTAAGGTCCTACAACAGTGTCTAGTTTCCCCAGAGAAGCCAAGCCTTTGGTTCTCAAGAAAATGAGAGCCACCTGGTGGTCAGTGATGAAACCTTTTTAAATAACCTTTGTGAGGTCATACCATTTGTACATTCATTCATTCAGTTCATTATTAGGTAGCTACTATATGCCATGTATTATATACTAGGTGTAGAAAATATGGTCCACGGTCCGAGTGGAACTTACAGTTTAGTCCGGAGAAAGAATAGAAAGCTTTTAGGAAGAACTAGAAGGAACTAAGTCACATTGGGCTGAGGTATATTTAGGGTTCAAAAGTCCTGGTTTACGTGACCCTGGGTCTCCAGGAGGCTAGGATGGGTTGCAGCTCAAACTTACTAGACATATCTCCCTCCTCAGTAAAACACCTCTGTGCATCTCAAATCCTGAGAAGTCGCTTCCCCAGACCCTAGGGAGGAAGTGGGCCCAGCGTAGGTGGACAGAGGAAGGAAGGAGTAGGAGAATCAGCTCAGAGCCCTGGTCCGTGTTCTCATCATACAGTCAGGACCTGGGAGGGGCGAGGTCCCGTCGCCGGGGCACGGGCTCCAGGCTCACGGGTAGTGAGCACTAGCACTGGGCTTTGACCGGGTCCAGTAGGTGCTCCTCCTTGCTCGTGCTTCCATCAAGAAGAGATGAAGAGGGGCTTCCCTGCTGGCGCAGTGGTTAAGAATCCACCTGCCAATGCAGGGGACACGGGTTCGAGCCCTGGTCCGGGAAGATCCCACAGGCCGTGGAGCAACTAAGCCCACGCACCACAACTACTGAGCCTGTACACCTAGAGCCCGTGCTCCACGACGAGAAGCCACGGCAATGAGAAGCCCGTACACTGCAATGAAGAGTAGCCCCCACTCGCCTCAACTCGAGAAAGCTCACGCGCAGCAGCAAAGACCCAACGCAAAAATAAATAAATAAAATATTTTAAAAATTGTCTTAAAAAAAAAAGATGAAGAGGGACTTCCCTGGTGGTCAGGAGGGTAAGACTCCACACTCCCAACGCAGGGCGGCCGGGTTCGATCCCTGGTCGGCGAGCTAGATTCCCGCATGCCGCAACTAAGGAGTCCACATGGCACAACGAAGAGCCCACGTGCCACAACTAAGA